CTGAGCTACTTGTGGTGTCTCTTTTTGCCTTTCTTAGGCTTCTTTCCACGTCCCCCTGGCCTCCCCTTTGGGGGAAGCTCAAGGGTTTGGAGCGGTGACATCAGGGACTTAGTATACTGTCGGGCATATGCTTTGGCTGGTGCGTTAAAAGTCAGCTTTAGTTCAGCAAGCACGGCCAAACCTTCGTTGATGTAGATCCGGGCCTTCTTGGATGAGGCACACCTCCCCTGAACTAGGAGGCGATCTAATGAGCCATGTCGTCCAAAATACATGGTGGCCCCTCCTCTTCGAAGGCTGTAAGGGCGAAAGTCGTGCCCTTGAAGCTGACAGGCTTCTAAGGAGTCATTGAAAGTCTTTCTCCAACTGTGGGCCGTCCCACAGAGCAAAGATGGGGTTTGAGGAGTGTGCAACCACTGCCATAGTCGTCGAAGGGTTTCTTCTTCTCTGATTGTAACACTTTCACTTGCTCCTACTCGTTTGCCTCCTTTAGTCATTCCAAGAGAGATGACGGCCGGAGACCTGGGTCCTACTTGAGTGACATGGTTCTTTCGGATCCCCAGGAGCTCCCCGGTGCGCAGGAGCCCGTGGAATGCGAGGAGTAGTGAGAGCCCAAAGAGTCCATTTCCAGAGAAAAGTGCATACCCAACGAGAACGTGCAGCGCATCGACCGGCAACGGTGGTGCCCGGTTTGGTATTTCATTGGTCTGCCAAGTCTTCATCAGCCTCCACGCGCTGGGAAGGTGCCCTCGAAGTGCCGGCTGCTGGTCCTGTACGGAAGCTATTGTGTCACAAGCGAGGGCTCGGCCTTCACCCGACTCCCATAAAAACTCTATGTACTGGGAAAGGAGGTAGTCTTGTCCAGCTGCATCTCTTGGGAACACGCGTCCTTCGTCCTTTAGGAAGCTCCTGTACTTGTCCAGGGCCTTGTTATATCGATCTCTAGTCTTGCTCTGTACGGCGAGGTTGCGAAGCGGGCCTAAACGTCTCCTCTGCTCCTGTCTGTCTGCTTTACTTCTACCTTCTAGGTGCGCTGTCTGCCTTCTCACCATTTTTTGCGAACAGGCCGCCTGGACGGCCGATCTGCTGGGTTTTGAGAAGTATGGACATACGCCCATACTCCATGGTTGCCAGAAGCTAGAAGTAAAGCATCTATTCGACAAAGCGTTCTCCTCATCTTCCTGCTGCTGCTTCGTCCACGAGACAGAGAGTGAAGGCACACGAGACTATCGATCATATGAATGAATTTTGAGTTGAAAGTCTTCCGTTTCACAACCCGCCATCTCAGGGTGGTGAGAACCGCCCGCATCTCCAAGACGTTGATGTGTTCGGGGCTGCCTCGCCAATGCCACCCAGTAATGGTCTTCCACTTCCATAGTGCTGCGGGCAAGCTGGCTCGGAGACGATGATACCGGAGTGTTTCCTCCGACTGGGCCTGGATCATGATATCCTCTCCTTTCAAACTGACTAGGTTCAAGAGCTTCTCCACCAGAGTACGGCTTCCAAGACTACTCCCCTCTGTTGCAGGAGCCGTCAGCGGAGGCCGCTGCAAAAGTCCAGCGACGGTGTGGCTGGACCCAGGTGTAGTCACGTCTACGGCCTCTTGGGGACTCAGAAAGGAGCATAGGCCCAGCTGCCCCCCTAGTTGAGAGAGCAACCAGGTCACCACGGTGACGTTCCACGTGTTGCCGACCAGTGTCTTGCGCTCGTCCAAGTGGGCCTCTGTGCCGTGGAACTGCTTGCTCATACATTGGAAAGTATAGTTCATGGGAAATCCCATGATTACCTCTCTCTCAACAATGTCTGGCAACCTCAAGTTTCCTCCTGGCTCCTTAATGAGATTCTTCTGCTGATACTGGTAGGGGGGAACCTGTATCGATCTTGCTCCCAGGCCCTGCGCTCGTCTTCACTCAGCAAATCCAGACCCGCTGGCCTGCGGCCGGGGCTGTCTCTCGGACGCGATGTTGTAAAAGTTGGAAGCGGCGTTGAGGAGGTACGTTGGCACCCTTCTCGGAGGAAACGTTCCGGCTTCACTTGTGCCTGAAGTTCGACTGGCCTGTACTGAGAGCTCCCCGAACCAATAGGAGGCTGCAACACGACTCCCCGCCCTGGGAGCAGTTCCCAATTGCACCAGTAAAGACGAGGTCGACGGGCCAATGAGACTCCAGAGGCGTCGATGGATACAGGAGTATCCCCAAACGACGCTGTCATCACCTTCCTGTCCTTCTCGTCCATGCTCATGACGCTCTCGGCCAGGTACCGGACCTGAGCCCAGCAGAAATGATTCTGTACTAGTTCTCGAATCCGAGCCACGTGGCTGAATAAGCAGCTGCGATGATCACGAAGAGCTCCCCTGCGGTTGGCGTTGAGTCCACTGACTCCTTGACACGGTGGACCGGCGCCAATGAGGACCACCGCCGCTTGCGAATACCGAGCCGCCCAGGATCTCACCATCTCATCATCTACAACCTCAACCCCTCCATCCACAAAGATGGTGGATGGGAAGCGACTTTCAAGGACCCGGCTTGCTTCCTTCTTCACTTCTACGCTGATGTGGCCAATCACTCCCAAACCAAGAGCATCGGCTGCCACCCTGAGCGCTCCTATTCCATCAAAGAGACCTATGGTGAGGATCCCCATCAAGTCACTGGGATCTGCTAAATCGCCGCGCACCTTTGCTCCAGCCGCTGCATGGCCGAAGCCTGTCAGGCCTGTGCTGGCCGTTAGTCCTCCTCCTGTGGTCGAAGCATCACTAGCTGTAACCTCCCCGTTGACTAGGAGGCGGAAGTTCAACTTGGCTAACGGGACCAGACACACGAATCTAGCAACCTCAAGTTTGACCTCGTCCGGAATGGTGAACTTGATGAAGGGCGGATAACCTCGGAAGCTTTCGATGAACTGCCAAATGTGGTTCAAGCACCCCAGCATAGGCCGTCGGAACATACTGATATACACCAGGCCTCCAGCCACCACTTGGGCCTGTTTCTGACTGCATGACTCTTCTTGGAGAAGGAGTGAGGCCAAGGCAACATACTTGTAAACCTTCACGGGCTTGGGGTAAGCGACACCGGCTTCTCCATCAATGATCGCTCCTTGTACTTCAGCCCTCAACGCTCTAGGCACGGCTTTCTTGGGGTGACGCGGAATGCCCCACTCCTCGTACTCAGCTCTCAACGCCAAGATAGCTGGGCTCGGCTCCCCTTGTAGGAGCTGGGCTGTCTTGTGGTCCACCTTCTCCAGCAGGTCGAAATTGTCAAGGTACACTCTATGCAGAGTTGAGGATCCGGAGAATGGTCTGTCCTTGCGGATCTCACTTGACCCCTCAAGGCCGCCCGACATCCGTAGTCCAGCTCGCCGTACGATGTTGCGGTGTACGTGCTGTGCCAGGCTGACGGAGTTTTTGAACCCCATAGGCAACACCTGAGATGCTAAGTAGTAGGGCCCGTGCGGGGTTGGCCATAGTTCTCGAGGAAGGACCTTGTTGAACGCCAGCAGTCTTCTCCACTCACTTGGAATCTTGAATATGTAAAAGAAACACCGCACATCCTCAGAGGAAATGATGAGGTCCTCAGTGGGCATGATCTGCAGTGGTCCCATTGTGGCCCAACTAGGTAGGGTCGAGACGTCGCCCTCCAGTGCTCGGCATACCAAATTGCACGGCCGTAGATCCATGATCAGACGGTGGATCGGAATGCCGTTGGCCTCTTCGTCCTTGGGCGCCAAAAAGGCCGTTCAGCACTGGAGCTCCATCCACACGGAAGACGTCATCCACATGTATAGGAGTGCACACTCCCCGGCCTAAAAGTCCTGTGCAGACCTCCAACCAATCGTCCTCATGGACCAACACCTTTGGGGGCTTCATTCCCTTCTGAACCTCCCTGGGAAGGAGATATTCCAGGAAATGATCAACATAATGCTTGCACCCAAGTTCACACACCTCTGACAAGTCTACTGACGCAACTTCAGCAGGCATTGCCGGGGCCAAATTGGCCCATGAGGTTGGGCGTGCGCACAAGACTTCATCACCGCAATAGTCGATCGTCTTTAACTCAAAGAAACTCTTCCACGAGGTCTCTTCCAATCTTTCCGGCCATCCCATGACCACTTGAGCCTCCTTATGCAACCCCTTAACTATCTGCCCCTGAACCTTCGTGGGATAGAAAGAATTCTCAACCGACTCCCCATAGAAGCTATTCAACGCACAACACATGCCCCTCACGATCACCAATTCATGCTCAGGTGCCTCCACCATCTTCTTGAGGTAGACCATGCTGGTGGGCAACGGGAAAACGTCGCCCTTGGGCTGGGCCTTGCATCGCAGGTCGAGACCGATCTTCTCACATGTATGAACCAGCATGCTCAACACCCAAGGGACGGCTTCAGCAAAACTGTCACCTGCACTCGGCGGCTTCATGCATTCTTTTTCAAGCGCGACCGTGTTCAGCCGTTCGCTCGGAGATGGCAGGGAAGTAGCCAGACTACCTAGCCTCACGTCTGCCATCGCTTCACCCCCGACCTCCGCGTCGACATGACGTTCAGTGGTCAGGATCTTTCGAAAAATGCCCAGGGCTCCTCCTGGCTCCACCTCCATGAGCTCCCCTTCAAACGGAGCTCCATCTGTAGGCGGCTCATACTTCATCCTCCTTTCTACTTCTCCTCTCTTTTCTCCCACTTCTTTTGATCGTCCTTCTGCTTCCCCTTCTTGCCGCGGCCCTTCTGTTCCTTCCCTTTTCTGTTGGCGTCTCCGCCGCTCTCGGACCAGGGACTTGCCTTCCATCCTTCTCCTTTCCCCCTCGCTTGGGATGCTTCCGACTTGGTTTTCGATTCCTCTTTTTGTTCCCTTATTGCCTCTTTGGCTTCGCTCCTCGTTGATAACACAGGGCGTTCCGGAGGTAAAACCTCGAGCCTCTGAGCTATTTGCCATGCCGCACCCTGCGAAACCAATTCGATCGATTTCAACCTCTGCACCAGACAGTCGGCCGATTCGGCCACCCGACCTTGCAAGATCAGGTCTACCGCAAAGCAGAGAGTCAAAGCCTCTCTCGAAGGGGCTCCTTGGAGGCGAGGGGCCATGGCGTGGCGGTAGTACTGGATCGAAAGAGGGTGCAGCTCCGATTCCTCCTGATGCCAGATGCCTCCAGTGTTCGACAGCAGAGCCCCCTGCATCTCTTTGAGAGCTTGCGCTGCTAGGAGGCCAGGTGCCCTCTTGGCGATGCGGCGGACTTTGTGTTCCTCTGCAAATACTTCTGGTGACTCCCCGCTGTAGGAGCTGCCGCTGCTGCTTGAGCTGCCGCTGGAAGACGATCTCTTCTTCTTCTTGACTCGCCTCTGGGCCTTGCTGGCAAACTTCTTGCGAAACTTCGGATCGGGGAGAGCCCCGTTCCCCCCAGGACGTCCTCTAGCTTCTTCTTGGCGCCCCCTCTCAAGCTGATCTTTTCTTTTGGGCGTCCTCGGCTTCGACCTCGCTCTTCGCTTCTCCTTTTTCTCTTCTCTCCTTTCTCTCTCTTCTTGCTGCGGCCTCTCTCGACCTCTTTCCTTCGACCTCCTTCTTCCTTCTCTTTCGCCTCCCCGCTCAGGAGACCCGCCTCTGCTGGGCGTCTTCCGGGCTCGAGTGCATCCACCAGGTTGCTCATCCATGGCAGATCTTCTGTCACCCGTTTGCAGATGCTGACGCCGTGGAGGAGGTTGTCTGCTTCGAGGCGATCCGGACAGGCACCCCCGCACAAGTGGACTCGCAGCAGCTCCGTAGGGTTGCCCGTCGACCATCTCAACAGGTTCTCCTCGTTGGTGCCTTGAAGCTTCAAAGAAACCTCCACATCCGCTGGACCTCGAACGTGGATGTCCTGCAGCAAGCCTGCCACGGAGGCATTGGCCCCCCAATAGCTCCCTTCTATCGCGACTGCAACTCCTCGTCGGAGCCCTTCTAGTGGGATGTCCTGACATCTCAACTCTTCACCTCTCTCGAAACCCTCAGCGAGCCTGGGCTCACGAGCTACCTCTTCTTCTTCTCTTCCTCTGCCTCTGTCGTCCTCACCAGCGTCCACGTGGGCCGCTGGCCTCCTCAGAATCCTCCCTCCCCGAACAGGAGGCTCCTCTCGTCCAGCTCGTCGAATGTCGGCTGCTGGCCTGGCTCTGGGTGGCATTGATGAGACGAGGGGGTCACCGACCTCCTTGGTCTCCCTGGTCATGCCGCTCTCTCTTCTTCACCCCTTTGTTGACTCCGTAATAGGCTGGGTATGGCTGGGTCAAGTTTCCAGTCTATGACGGGGCCTTGCCACGAGCTTCCTGTCGGCCTTTGCTTGGCCTTTGCCACCGGTAGCCTCTTCGGCGGTCTCGGTGGGGACTTCGATGGTGTACGAGGTGGGCGAACACTGGGCTTCGCCTTCTTCTCCTTCTCAACCTCTGTAGCCTTCTTGGGTGTCTTTCTCTCAGCCTCGGACGATGTAGGTCGTCTCCGTCTCCTGCCCTCCTTGCTCTTTGACCTGTGATGCCGCCTCCTGCTGCGACTCCTTCTTGACGATCTCCGCCGCGATGACCGATGTCGGGACTTGGATTCCTCTACCTTCGAACCACTCGAATGCTTTCCTTCTCCCTCAAGGTCAACCAGACCTGGACGAGAAGTGCTCGGGCTCGCCTTCTTCTCTTCCTTCGGCTTGATCCAACTCTTGTCGACCACTTCCTCCCGCTGCTTCTCGGAGACTGCGGTACTCCCCGACTTAGGAGTAGCAGTACCTTCAGCGACCGTCTGCGCCCTCTCTTGTTCACCGAGACGTTCCAGCTCTTCCTCGAGGATGCTGGTCCAGATGCGCAGGTTCTGTAGTGCCCAACCTCGCGCTCTCACGGGTAAAGTGTCTAGTGTCCTCCAGAAACGATCTCGGCTTCGGCAGAAGGTACAGACAAGGTCGGACTCTGCGCACTGGATGCGGCAGAGTTTGCAGGGATGCATGCCCTTGAGCCCAAACACTATTCAAAAGTCAAGTATCCGTTTGGTCGTCTTAATATCCGGGGCCGGAAGTACATATATAAGAGTCGTCTTATGAATGCCAGTGATCGGTCCTTGCCAAAACAAAAGGGAAACCCAAACACGACTGATGGGACTGGCCTATTTACCTACATTGGGGTGGTTGAAACGGGGTAAATGTATGTAAATATGCCAGTCCCATGGAGTGTCTGGGAAATAAAGAAACAAAGAAAACAACTGTTTGGCAAAGACCAAAGACATCATGGGGACAACATGGGACTCACGAGTTGCGACGATGTTTAGTTTCATGTTGTTTTTCATGGGATCTGGATTCCCAGAAACACACAAAACACGCCTGAATGCGCGCGGGTTTGGAGTTCTGAAGCAATGAATCAAACAAACTTGTTATATACTTCAATGATTTTAAGGACCACATGTGAAAACAGAAGTGGCAGGCAAGTATATTTGAATTGCCACTTGAGATTCAAACAAAATGAACCTTAAAGTATCCCATCAGTAGACATCACGCGGTTCTTTGGCTTGCGCGAAGGTCATTCTTTGATGGCTGTTTCTCTGCTTATACCGATTCACACCAATCGACTGTGGAAGGATGTCCTGATCGACGCCTGAAGTGGCGAAGGGAGACCCTCTGATCAAGCGGCAGGGATCCCACCTCTGCTGGGAATCCAGTCTCCTTCATGATGAGATCAGCTAGCAATGGCAAACAAAATCGTAAATAGGATGAGGATGACAGGACCTAGGATTTTTGCAGATTGTTCCTGACATTGTCAATCATTGTCAGCTAAACAGTCCTTGACAAATCGAGTATATTGGCATATGTAGGCCATTTTTAGGACTCTGGACTCGGATGGTTTCTCCTTCGGGGAATCCCCTGGCAAGGATTCACGTGTTTTGTGGTTTGCGAGTGTATTCACCCTCAGACACTCCATGGGACTGTCATATGGCGATCAATTGACCCCCAGTCAACCACCCCAACTGATCGGCATATACATATAAGTCCCATGGGTCGTGTCTGGGTTGTAGTGTTGTAGTCTATTCTGGGTTGGAGTGTCTGGGACCTTCACCCAAGATCGTCGCCGAATCGCTGGAGCCCCCGGACGGTCCGTAGGTTTCGAAAGCGATGGCTGAGCTCCTCCGGAGGGCGATGGTTTTTGATGTTTTCAAGCAGGATGTTCCATCATATTCCATATGGGGTGTTCACTTGAAGAGGGAAATCCCTAACCAATCTGTTTGGGATAGTTTTGGTATATTGTTTCTTCTTCCAACACATGCATATCTAGCTTCTGTGGTTGAGCAACTCTCGGGGTTGCTCCGAATGGCTTCCTGTTGAATGGAGAATCTGCTTCCTTCTCCCAGTGACCGATCTGGAGTTTTTTCTCGAGTGACCGTCAAATCAGGCCTTTTGGTGGACCTCCACCATCAAAAAGGTCACTGGGAAGATCCAGGGACATGCAAAAAAACATGTCCTGCATGCTGGGCTCAATTCTCAAGTGGTGAAGATCTGGGGTTGCCTAAATCTGTCCTTGGGTAATAGAGCCATGCAGGACAGACTTTTGAACATGTCAATCCAAATGAACTGAAACATGTTGACTTTCCAATCACTAATTAATTAGTGTGCGGTTCAATATGGTTCAATTGTCACCCCAAAACAGACGTTCGGGGCAATCAAAAAAACATGTCAAAACCAAGACCATGACGACCAGTTTTCTATGGTTGAAGCTTCCCATCTTGACCGGAGTAGAGCCATGCAGAACAGACCTTTGAACAGTTCAATCCAAATGAACTGAAACATGTTTCCTTTGTATATAAAATCATGTCCAACTTCTATCTGACTCCATCTGTCCCCCGCCTCCACTCTGCCCAACTGCTGGCGCCATCGATCTGCCTCGGTGTCCAAAAAACCGGTGCGACTTCAGTCGAAATCCTAGGAAAAGGGGGTATACATGGGGGTATGTCCCATGATAGTTATCAGGAAAAATTGGATGCTGAGGGTGAGTTGCATTGTTGCCATTGGGTTCATCATATATCAGGGAAACCTTGGATGCTGATGGTGAGTAAAGAGATGTAAAGACCCTTCCCCTCAAAATAGTGATGATCTTTTACCCACTGTTACTGGTAATGGGGCTACACCTTAGGTATACATGGCTCCACATCATCCCGAGTGGTCTTGAAAAGCTTTTGGTTTCAGCACATGGCTCAACTAGTCTTCAGTCGGCTCGTCAAGGCTGCTCGAATTTGAAGGGGTGCTTTCACATCCAAGGATTCTGGGTGGGGTATCAAAGCTTGGGCGAAGCTTTGTTTTCCTAAGAAGGTCCGATTCACATGGATCCTTCGTGTTTGTTGACCTCATATTGAATATAGCTTTTGTGGTCACATGAAGCATTTGGAGGCAAAAAGGAGCGTCATGAGAGCATCTCCACTGACGGAGGTCGGAGGTCAAACGGAGTGGATGTCCCTCCATTTAGATCCAGTCCTCGTCAAAGTAGAGACCTGAAGCTCCAAAAAGATCCAAAAAGTATAGCTTAAACCTGGCTAGCCCGGGAACAGAAAATGAACAAGAACATTAAAATACATACCTGGACCTTCCCGGGGTGTCCAATGGAGGTCCCTTAGTGGTGTAGGGGCTCCCATTGGTGACCCCTGTGAAGGTGCTGGTACTGGAAAAGTCTTTCCTTGTCTTCCTAACGCATCCGAACAGCATGTCCTTAGAACCAAGTCGTGGGGGAGAAAAACCAACGACTGTTCTTCTAAGCCCTGGGACCTGGGACGAGTCTGCAAAATGCCAGGACCGGGTGCCATTCAAGTGACCTCAGAACCCATCACTATCGAAACTCCGGCGATGGAAACACCGGTCTGACGCGTCGACTTCAACCAGAACCGACTCAGTTGGTGACCTCAGAATGACTCTTTGAAGCCTTGTTTCGCCCTGGAAAACAGGGCCTTTGGTGACTGAAAATAGGGTCCAGGGAATCAGGGATCTCATTCCAAACTTTGAAGGTCCTGGAACGTTCAATTTCATCGAGACCCACGGGGGTCTTTGTCTCATTCTCCGGCCTTCTCCAGCACAGCCTGCTCCGGACGTTCTTTGGCCGTTGTCACCTTGATTCGGCGGCAGATGATGCAAATGCAGGGCCAACACAGGCACCAACACCTTCTTATGAACGAGAAAATGGGGTAGTCCCTTTCCATATGCAGGTGAGTTTGAGGTGGATGACTTCTTCCAGGAACCGGTAGGAACCATGCAAACCTCTCTCTCTGTAAACTTGTAGAGTACTAGTATTATAGGACGTCCTGAGGACGGGGATGAAAGGGGCATGTACAAGTGGTGCAGGGTCCTTGTCTAATCAATGGGCCTTCAGCTGCATGCATCGAGAGGATCCATGTCTCGCAACGTTTTTCGTAACCACTGGCTAGAAGCTAATTGTACCCGAAACATTCCAATGCAAGAAATCCGCCCGCACCGGAGGTGCCGAGGACTTCGTGTCAGCTCGTGTACATCCACATCGCAAGGAATCCGGCTAGGTAAATCCTAAGTTTTAGCTTGGGGGGGCGGCATTTTTCTCCTAGAAATGCTATACGTTTCACTGTTTTTTGAAAATTTATCAAAATTGGACCAAACGTTGGTGATGCAGGTTTTGCAGGTCGGGCCAGATCGCATAATTGCAATCACAAACGTCTCGGGAAGCCAAGGGCACTGCACTATAGATATGCGATGCTGGTTATGCCGTCCGGGGGAGAGTGCATTACGGACATCGCAGAAATCGCAAACGTCGAGGGAAACCGTGGGATACTGCACGATTGATATCGTGGATGTGTTCGGTCGTGTGCCCAGTCCGACTGGATGAGGTGAATGGTATTGAGCATGTGGTTTTTGATGTTTTTTGGGGGGAGCAATCGCATGTGGTTTTTGGCACAGAGACAGAGACAGACAGACCCAGACAGACAGAGACAAACAGAGACAGACTAGACCCAGACAGACCCAGACACAGAGAGACAGACAGACAGACACAGAGAGACAGACCAGACAGACAGACAGACAGACAGACAGACAGACACCCAGACCGACCGAGACAGACTATTGACATCGTGCGTGTGTTCTTCCGTGTGTCCTGCCCGAACAGACGCACACACTTTGTGCGGGCGGCTTCGTGCGCGAAGCGCTGTGAATATTATCAATTGAGTGTGTTTGAAACAGCCAGGACTCTTCTAGCCATATGTAGCACAAGCAAAGGACAATAAAGGTTCAATGCCACAAGCACTTCAAGCTCACCACAGAATCTATGACGGGGGCTGTTTAGGGGTTCATCAGCTTTGCCGACCGGGTCGGCAAACACAGTGCTCATGTTCTTAACTTCAACCTCTTTATGATTTCATGTGGGTGTGTATAAAAATAGGTCAGATCCACTGGACAGTTAAGCCAGTCTCGCCAGGGCCACTGGATCTCCCTCTTGCTACACCCGCATGGGTGTGCCAACTCCGAGAAAACCCCCCAACGGAACGACCTGCCAAAATGGACGCCCCCCGAAATGGATGAAGTAGAAAGGAGACAAGTACGTTTGTCTTTCGGGACAAGTTGTTGCTGTTGTAGTCCTTTCGAGACAAGTTGTAGTAGTTGTTGTTGTTGTTGTTGTTGTTGTTGTTGCCAATCTTGCAAAGCATTGAACATCAATCTTCACGACTTCCATCGACGTCCCTTCCCTAAATCTTCTCTCAGCGACGCTAGTGCTTGGAAGGCGAGTAAACAGCCTCGGGGGCCGCACCACGGGAGCGCCCCTCTGAGCTTGCTTTTCTAACTGAGAATCGGCCCCAACTGCACAGTGCTACTTTCTACAAACATGTCCTTGTCAAAAACATCCCATCTTGCTCAAGTAAGTGAAGAAAATGCAGGGCCCAACTCTGGTAGGTAGCTCCCCCTGAAATCAAGAGTCGATCGCGAAAAAACCGTGGGGGTGGGGTCATGAGATGTCACCAGGCACCTCAAAAACCATGTCGCTTGGTGTTACAGTAGTTCACTCTCTTCAACTCGACCAGCAAAAATTCCTCGCCAACTGCTGCGCTGAGCTGAGCTGAGCTGAGCTTCCAACAGCTCATCACCGCCGGTGGACGACAAGAATTCATCTTCCTTACGCCGGTGTGCCACTGGTGGGGCGCACCATCAAGCTTCACGGAGTATAGCCGGAATGTCTGGAACAACATGTGCTGCGATGTGGTTGTGGCAACTGGGAACCAAATACGCGTGAACAACATACAAAAATCTCGGGAAAAGACCCGACCCCACTCAACATAGACGGCATTTCCTCTGTCGCAGGCCACAGAAATATATACGCAACATCGACCAAAGACTCTCCTAGCAAACCACTCCCTGCGATCCATAGAAAGAGCGTTCTGCCGTCCTTTCTCATGGTAAGGTTCGATCAGGTCTTCCACCGGATGGGTAGGCCCAACAGGTGTGTTTCTGGACATCCACCATCTGGTCTCAAGCCCAGCTTGAGGGCTTCATCACCCCACTTCAGTCTGCCCACGATCGTAGATATTGTAGATGTTGGGTCTTGGATTCCTCATGTGTTCACTCATGTTTGTTTCACTCATGCTTTCACTCATTTTTCATGTCAACACTTTCCCCAGGCCACTCCCCTCCTCTCCCCATGCGCACACAGCAAGCGCCTGTCCATCACCGGCGCCACGGCGGAGCCAAGCGATGCCCACCCCACTGGATGTCACGTCCGTCACCTCGGGATATCGTGAAACGCCGTGAAGCATCGTGGAGTCATGCATGTTGCTGAAGAGCCCAACCCAAAAACGAGCCAACTGAGATTTTAAAAAATTGTATATAATGGGTGTTGAAGTCTTGATCAAGAGTTGCAATGAGGAGGGTAAACCCTAAGGTATTGTGCCTGAATATGCCTGAATGCAGCTTGCCGTCTGCCAAATCCCCGTCTCCAGTGCAACATCTCCACTTTGAGCGCGGTTTATCTAACCCCATGCCGCAGCGCTTGGTGACCCCTCCAGTTCCACCAATCGCCTTCGCGCGGAACCATCGCCCATCACCTGGCCAGCTTGCCCAAACCTGGCCGGGAAGCCGTGACGGAGCGAAACCTGCGAACGGAACCTCTTGAAAAAACAGATCGTTGGCCGTTCTTGGCTTTGACCCGGCTTCATCCATGTTTACAGGGCATTGTTTTCGAGCGATTTGAACATCAATGTGCTTTTGTGATTTTGGTGATGTTTCAATTGATTCCCACTAGTACTGCTAGCGCTATGATGGGTGGACGATTCAATGCATATTCAGACACCATCTTTCAATGTCGGCAGGTTGGTTGGAGTCGATCAACAAAATCAAACCGCTGATCATCAATAGTCCCCAAATCGGTATCCTTTTATGCAACAAAGATTGAAGCCGGGGCCCGGGGTAGCGAGCAAACATAGAGGTTCAAAAAAAAACTAACTGTTTGCAACTTACCACAGCTAGTGCTGCTGCTACTACTGCTACTACGACCACCAATACCAGTACCACTGCCACAACTACTACCACTCTTGCTGCAACTGCCACCATACTGTTCCTTTGCTACTTCAACTATAATTACTATTACTTACAGTCTCAGTTACTTTGTTTTGAAGCAGCATAGATTGGGGAGCCAGTCCAAAGGGCAACTGCAACGCTTCAACCATTCCAACACGATCCAATGCGATCAACATCGGGGACTTGTTGTTTCCATTCAGAGGCCGCAGCCGCAAAATAGGCACAAGTACAAAACGGCATGTGGATGCCACTACATGCCAACAATGCTGATGCTGTAACCCTCATCTGGCCCGAGCCCCTAAATCTTCGCCTCTGCTCCCACTGGCACATCCTCAGCCGTCTCTGTGGCCTTGGGCGAGCCCTCCAAGAGCTCATCATGCAGCTCTTCCACCTGTGGCTTGCTGCTTCTGACAGCTGCTCGGCACAAACAGGCATGGGGGCTCCGAAGGAAAGTGCGCGATGAAGAACGCCCATGAATGAGTGGTCCTGCACGCGCGCCCGAAGCGCTAAGTCAGAAGCTCCTGCCAAAGTAACCTGAAACAAACGGGCAAGCCCAAGGACCATGACAAACACATTCATCAGGCGCACACTGCCCGCGTATGAAAATTCGCCCCATTTTCAACTGGCTTTTAGTTCTTTCCGCGTTCTTCGCGCATCCTGTAACCTTTCTCACACCTGTTCACGCTGTTCAGAGTGCAAGGCGTGGTTCCTCCGGTGAAGCACTGAGCGGAGCGGCGGCAAGCAAGCATACGAAGCTGATCTTTGGGCCTACCATATACTCTTCGATGTCAACATCGCCCGGATACTGTGATGCGGAAATGCAGAATGCGTTGAAAGGAGGCCATTCTTCCATGGCAAGCCCACAAGTCGTGCGTTCGCGAAGTTGAGGGTTAGATCATCTACCACCGAAGGCAGGAAAAAGGCCCAGTTACTAGTCTTTGCCTTCTCATCTTTGCCCTGAATCTTGCTCAGCTAGGCACATCCGACTCCGGGACTGGAAATTAGAGATTGCAGAGTGGGTAAGGTTGATTTGGTTGGAGCCCCAGGTATATATATCCATTGCTCCAAGCTCCTACTAAGCGCTAGGTCTGTCTTGACGGCAGGACGCGCCCCGTACTGGTCGAACCCAACTTCAAACCGATTTCGGTCTGGCTGAAATTGGCCTGCTTGTCTTTGAATTGAGGGGGCCCAGACTCAGTTCTTGGTGATCGTTTGATTCGACCACTTTTCCTTGCCTGAAAATATCTGAAAATTCCCCCAGGCGCATAGCCTGTTGGTGCTTTACAAATCCATGGTGTGAGCTCCATTCACAAGCTTCGACAACCTTCATGCTTCTTTGCTCCACGGCGATTGAAGACAGGTGTGTGTGTGTGTGTGCACGTCTGGAAACCTTGGAATCATAGATCACCTTTTGGTGTGCAGGGGGCCACTGGGGCTCTAAGGAGCGGTGGCCAACGAAGACTTTGTCTGGAACCTGTGTAAACGTACCTGCCAAACTGCTTACCTGTTGTTCTCGCTGTTGTTTGCTGTCATGGTGGTTCATGTGGGGCAAACGTTGTGCAATGGTGTTGACACGATGCTTCTTTTTGCTTGCCGAAAAATCGTTTTCAAGCTTCAAAACTCACCAATGCTGATGTCCAATTGTTCCAACCTGGGAATCAAGTCTCCAACATTCTTCACTGAAAACCTTGCACCGCCTTGATCGAATACTTTGTTTTGCATCCATGAAACGTGTTGTCGGTGATCGACAACTGTTGGTGGTCATCAAGCTGCAATTCTCTATCATTTTACTAAGGCCTCTTCTTGAACCTAGCATGGGGCAATCAGTCAGTACGCAATATCGCGCGTGTGTGTGTGTGTTGTGTATTTGCTCATGTTTCATTGAAAATAAGCAGTGTTTTTGTTTCTGCCATCACAGTCAGTGGAATAACCAAGAGCAGCCCAGCGCCACCCCAATGCATCCATGTGAACGAAGAGCTGTTTGTTCACACGTCAAATTATTCTTTTTGGTAGTTCTCAGTCAACATCGTTTCGTCCAACTTGACCAGCATCAGGCACCACAACATGCCCCGTGAGGAATGTCCATGGAACATGAAAGGAATTTGGGGCCCTTTACAGTGGTTTAAGAGTAGATGGCACGATCCCCGAGTTCGGTGGTTTATGTGGACCTCCATTTAAAAACAAATATATATATATATATATTATATCATCTTTGTATATCTTTGTGGTGTCCGTGTCATCTACTCTGAAACATTCTGAAACCACTGCAATGTAAAGATTCCACAACTTCAAGATGGAGACCCAACATATCGCCTAGCCACGAGGTTCCGCATAACTCCGCCCAGTGGGGCGGGTCGCTCCGACTGGGTCATCAACGGTACACTCGGCCTGTTGGTGCACTACTCATACAAACACATCTCAACCGCAAAGTCATAGATCCACATAATAATTAGGATATATTTATATTAGGTAATATTTTGGTATGTATATATATATATATTAGTAATATCCCTACCAGGTGGAAATGGAGCTTTGAGCCCAGTTTCCAAATAAAATCCGACGGTTTTTCCATCTCGCGGTTTCCACATAAAGGCGCGAGACCTCACTTGAAAGGATGTTCAGTCCAGCATCTCAAGGACTCAAGCAAGGCTCTATATGCGGTTCGGCCTCAGAACCTTCAGAACCTTGACACCTAGTCTTGACCCCCAAAAAATAAAAACAACCCTAGTCTGGGGTCTGGGGCTTAAGACCTGAGGCTGGTGAAACTTCGGGGTCTTGACCCAGCAATAACCAAAAACCACCCTAGTCCCAGCACCTTCCAGGTCTGGTCTCCCCTCCATTTCGGGTTGTTTCAATTGGTGACCAGACCACCTGGCGGCATGGGCCACCTGGAGCCTCTCCAAGCGTTCCATCTTACGACCCAAGGGTCGACCGCCCGGTCCCGTCCGAGTCGAACGCCCGGAGAACGGTTGGAGGTCAGATAGTAGGAGCCAATGGAGAATAGATGTCAAATGACAGGATCCTGTAGCGATTTTCCGGATTGATAGGTATGGCGCCATGGATGGGAAGTCAGAAGGGAAGTCAGAAGGGAAGTTGACTGGTACTTCCCACAGTCTATCACAGAGTCATTTAGAGATGGTATAAGTTGTGATCCTGTGAAGGTTTCATGGCCGTGGGTCGAAGCCTGGAGCTCCAAACCACCCTAGAAAGGTTGACCACGTCTGGCAATCTATTTCTGTTCATTTTCTGAACAGAAAAAAACATGGAAAAACAACAGGGTCCCGCTGTTTTTCTCCATGATCCACTGCCATATCGCCGCATTGGTGGCGCCTACCGGGCTCACGGCGTGCAATCCGAGCCTCGATGATGCGCCATTTCTGCGCTCAGAAAACCTTCAAAAGACAACATGTCAAATTGATTTGTTAAGGAACCAGGAAAGAACCATAGACTGATGCCAGGGGAATTCATCCATGAAAATAACAATTCAAATGCTCAGATGGTGAATACCTGAACAAGACCGGTTCAGGGGGACTCGCTTCTCTTCCGCCCAGCTGCACCCCAGCTGCTTGTGCCTCACTGGGATCCAAGAACGAGGCAGAGAAGAGAGCCAAAATCCAATGAAGGTCCTGGCCCACGTGTCTTTTTGTGCTTATCTGTTTTTTCCTCGCTGAACGAGCTCAAAATGACCACAGGATCCATATAGGCTTACAGAGAACCAAACATCGCCGGGGTGACAGGTCCTACTCCGAGCGAACTCTGCCGGACGTTGGTGCTGCTGCGAGCAAAGACTATCCCGACTCTGGGGGGGGGGGGGAAGCCCAAGAAAATGCTCGTGTACTTCGCGCTGGTGATGTTGAGATGTCCAGAATGCCGATCCGCTTGACTCCGCGCAGAAACGGAGGCTGGTGATGATAGGCGCGACGCCTGTCAGGAGTGTCATGCGACGCAGAGAGCCGGCGTCAGGGTCAAAACCGCCGCCGCGCTCGGTCGACGGCGCTGAGGCAACGAGGGACCAACGACCCATCGGTGTGTAGCTGATCCCAGGGAGACCGACTGCTGGGCGTTCGGAACGCATTCGGTGAAATGGACTTGGCAGTGTGCTGATCATACAGCACGCATGATACAGGTACGGTTGTTGCATCCTCAGATCTGTGAGTGGTTGGAGTTCTGACAGGAGTTCTGACAGTGTATGGCTATCGGATGGCATACCTTCGTCACACTAAGCGTCCGATGCAAGAGATAGTATCAGATATGTACACCCTCCCTCAAAAAACATGTGGAAGTGGACAACCCCCTCTTGGTCCTTTCGTTCCTTTCCACTGATTGTTGGAGGGGGAGTAGGTAGGTATCAGCCGGAACTCGCCCAACTCTCGCCCTCCTGCGCAGCAGCATCGATCATGGAGGCAGCCCCTTCACGCCGGGCCTGGCCAATGGGGCGCCGGGGCCACTCAAGCGTGCACAGCTTGCGACCAACGTCCCAACTGAGTTCCTAAGAATCGATCACCAAAGAAAAGCCGGTCGCTCTTGGAATGGATCTCATCCTGAAGTAGATAGAATAATGGAACATATCCATGAACATCTTTTTAAAAAAATAGGAAACTGCATGGTCATATTCTACCTACTCCTGAAATGAAGATTGGCTACAACCTGGCATGTGTTCCTTCTTGCAGCCCTTAGCTGGGGCTATGTGGCGCTCCTGCTCAGGATGCGACTACCGAACCACCAAGTAATGCATACTTACCTGAAGACATCCAGCCAGGCCCTTGGATGAAGAAGAGACTAAAAGCCATCGGTTGGGGGGAACCCCCATCAACCCCGGAGATCTAGATTGGAATCCTGGTTCTTGCGGTTGTTGACTGAATCCCCTCACTTCTGTCAATGCTCAGATCGCCTGGCAATTCTCTTCTGCTGCTTCAGACAGCAAGGTGAGCAATTGCCTGGAAACAGCACTTCGAGGATTTCCCGACCAAATCAGGTGAGCGGTCAAAAGATCCTTCGAGGGCGTCGGGGGCCAATTGACCCAAATGAGCTGGCCCCCAAAACAAGACACCTGAAGGGTCTTCGTCAGTAGTAATTACTGTATATTATACAGAAAACTACAGGGTGATGACATATGATATCATCAATCTCTCTCGACTACCATGACAACCAATGTCCCATCTAAGGCAAGGTGTTGTTCTTTCTAGATGCTTGGGGATTTTGTCCGTCACTTGGGACTTGCATACTATCACTGTGGTGTGGAGAGCATGAATTCCCTTGTGGCGAATTCGGCATCCCCCAAAGGGTGAGCACTTGCAGCACCTGTTCCTGTTGAGTAGTTTTCTGAGGAAAAGTCAGCTGAGAAGGGACCTGGCCTCTGGAAATCTCCGGAAGACCCCCTCCTCAGACCCTTCAATGAACACAAAAGCACATGAAAACCACTGGTCCATCAGCCCCTTCATTTTGAGACACTCATCTCTGCCAGGACCTTATATCCTGTAAAATGGACCAACAGTCCCCCAGCTCATCCCACTTAGAGCGGTGGAAGCCCCCCTTGAGATCCTTCCACTTCGCTTCACGCAATGGGACCCACTGACGTCAGGTCACCGACCGTGCCCAAGTTGCTTGACCAAGGGCGCCGGGACCGCGGTCGAGCGCTGCAAGATGTCCTGCGGCGCTCGAGGCGAAGGCGAACGGCCCGGGCGAACGGACCGCGCCGTTGGTGAACGGGGAACGGCCACCGGACTGGGGAACGGGGAGACGTTGGACGTTTGGCTCCAGCCCTGGGCGTAGAAAACCAACCGGTACATGGCAAGATGTAATTTACACGTCAATTACCCCGACTGGAAGTAATATATCAGGAAGATGGATGTGGACGTTTCAGAGAGAAATCCCAGTCTGATTTTCTGTGAGATTTTTCCGTTGCTCCACCATCTGATTCGTTAATTTAATTGATATACCCTGCCCCGATCTAAAGTGGCCGCCTTCTTTCAACCCCTTCGACATGGGCTATCTGTGTCGATTAAGTGATTCAGGGAGCATTGAGCATCAGCGTTGTGGCACCACCCTTCCATCCCCTTGTCAGGCTCAGGTTCAACAGTTGAACATGGTTTCACTATGTTTCACTATACCCTGGGATTCCAACAACCATTGATTTAAGATGATTTCATAGGCTGAATCCCAAACAACCATTATCTTACCAAGGAGTTTCGCCTGCATAACCAGACCAACCATTCTGTTAATGGTCGAACTGAAGGCTAGGGTATACACGGCAATTTCATCTTCCCTTCCATATTACGAGTCATGAGACACTCACAGACTGAATTAGGTTTTTAAAGAGAGCAATGTTTCCTGTAGGTTCATGTATCTTCCAATTCAACTTAGCCCTACCATTTGCCCATGGTTTGGTGGAGCGCACCCCCTATTTCATCTTCGGCGTGGTCTTGTTGGTCTTTGCTGAATGCATGCCATAAACAGTTCCATGTCGGAATGGTTTTGAGTCCCCAAGTCGTGAGTGGATGTGGATGTGGACCATGGGCACCTTACTTTATATCATATATATCATATACCAGCACCCTCCAACAGGTCACCACCTGCGACTTTTAAGTCAGCAAAAGCCTCCAGAGGAGACCTGTTGGAGGATGCTGGTATACTGCATATTCCATCATGGATGTGGGTCAAAAACACACCCTGTGTATTTTTACCCACGGAGAATGAACCGAATAGACTACCCTGCCCATCTACTTCGCATCGGTGGAGTCTTGGAGGTCACCCAATATGCCCGTTTGGGGCTCCAACGGCCGGGACGTCGGGTGGGTCGGGTGGGGGGTCGAATACCACCGGTCACCTGAGGATCTGGAGGTCGCCGGCGATGGTGACCCGCCAGTCGCCCCTTCGAAGCGTCCAACGCCACGCGTTAACGCGGAAGGCCCACGGGAACGACCGGCGCCACGGTGGCGACGCGGTCAGCGGCTCCTTGAAACTGTTGGCGGCATCATGTTCGAGGGCCGGCCGGTTCGCGCCTGCAGGGCTGGTGAGGTGCCCGGGGAGCGCTGCGGTGCGGTGAGGGTGCGTGAGGCACATGGCCGCCACTATGGCTGCCATGATGACATGGGTCAGTTGAGATGGTTTCTGATAGTTGATTTCAGGGGCCCCTGCCGTTGATTAAAGTCCTGGTCCTAGTTTTGGGCTTGTTTTTGGAATCCGGTTCTTGTTTTGGAGGTGCAGAAAGTGTGGTCTGGGTTGGTGACGTGATGATGTCAACATCAGCAAACACCTGTGGGGGTAGACGGGTAGACTCACCCTGTTCATCTTTGAGATGGTGCCCCAATGTGCCTCATAGCTTGATCGTCATGGCCCGTCATGGCCATGAAATCAAACTTCAAGCGAACCAGCCACAGACGAGGTTTTCAGGCACCAGAAGGGCAGGACGAAGAATTTGCATCTGGGCAGGACGAATGCCCAGACTCCCAGCCCTTCGTCGTCGACCCGACTCCCGACTTGCTCGGCCAAGTGGCCTGACTTGGAATCTGCCGCTGCACTAATCACGACGCGGCCTGAAAGTCACGTAGCACGCGGTGGCACGCGGCACGCGGTGGCACGCGCGCGAAAGGCGTGTTTCACGCGGATCTGTTGTTGGACGAAACGCAGGGGCACACGAAGCGCACTTCGCCAAAAAAAGGATGGATGGAACCAACAAAAAGGGTACCACCTCCATTATATCATGTTGCCACCAGCGGCAAGGTTCATGGAGGCCGTGGCGGCGTCGGCATCGGCGGCTATGTGAGTTGCGGACGGGTATTTTAGCTGGCTGCAATCTGAGAAGCAGGGGCTTCATGAGCGAGCTAAGGTTATTTTTCCTTCACGCGGGGCATAAGTCCATCTGACTGGATCAGGTCAAGCTCTATAATTACGCTGCAAGGCAATGCTCTCCAGGCTCTTTCATGCTCTTTCTGGTCCCGGGTGCTGCAATACCAACAAAACAGGGGACAGCATGCTCAAGCGTTTGACTATATACCATGCAGTTACAGTTAAAGTATGACCTTGAAAGCCGGAGACACATGAAAATTATGTGATTCATCTTGATGAAGAGATGCATTATGTAAGTTTTCTGTGAAGAAGAAAGCTCCACCGATCCACTCCCGAACGAGATGCATTCTTGCTCAAGAAAGCGCCTGCACGCGAACGAGTCAGGGAGTTCATAGCGATCAGCAGGGCTTTGCTCCTCAGCCGTCCGTGGCCATCAGTGAGGAGGGGAGTGGACCTCGCCATGGGGCAAGAAAATGCTGCTTGCTGTGGATGAGACACCCCTCGGAACGGTTTTGGAATGCACACCCTCACAAAAACATACAAAAACAGTTCGAAGCGGAGCTACAAGTGGAGCTTTTCATTCTTCTGCCTCAGAAATCACACCCTCAGAATATATGCTACATACTAGAATAGGAAGACCTCTCAGCCAAACCTCCATGGAACTGTTCTGACGCAGTATTCCGAGAAAACATGTCCGCTTTAAACCACACGCTCCGCACGTTAAGACCTGATTTCACGGCTCTGCTGCATCTAAGGAGAGGAAATTGGGTCCGCCTGCAACGTTTTGCCGTTATCATCCCGCCAAGGAGAGATAAATTTGATTTTGGAGATCTCCCAAACATCCAGGGACCAGTGGATGATGAGGCTAGTAAATAAAGGCCTTTCTCCAAAATAGTCATAATCTTTGACCGACTGCTACTGGCAATGGGACACGCCTTGTTTAGATTGAGAAATGGATGTATAATGTCCAGCATGTCATTCTTGAGTCTTCCCTGAGAAAGAAGGGCTGGGCAATGACCCTCCTGTCCCACCCAATCCTTTTTCTTCCACAGAGCGAGCTCGGACACGCCACGCCACGGTGAGCTTTTCTGCAGCTCGGACGTGCCGTGCCACGGTGGGCATTTCTGCAGCTGATATGGCCATGATCACATACACAGCGTGAGAGAATTGGGCATTGCTCAAACCCCAAATGACTGCTTGTAAAGAAAGACACCAACCCAACACACATAAATCATAAAACCACTTAGCTTCTCGGTCATAGCCTAAGTGTCTTGATCTTTTCGTGGAATCAAAGGATATCAACTGCTACTACTGCTACTGCTGCTCGAACTGGAGCTACTTGAAGCTCGTTTTTTAAGCTTCTGCAGCTCACGCTCTATCCTTCGAACATCTTGCTTCGCTTGCTTGATCTTCCTTTTCTCTCTCTGTTCCCATTTTCGTCTCTTCAACTCCAACCTTTCCTCCGGCGTCAGCTTTGGCTTCTTGGGCTTTTTCTTCGGCTTTTTCTTCTCCTTCTTCTCCTTCTCCTTCTTCTCCTTTTTCTCCTTCTTCTCCTTCCTTGGATTGGCTCACAAGGGACCTGGAACCAGTAAGTGATAGCAAAAAAGACAATCCATGGAACAAAAATCAGCTCTCTCAATCCCAAGTCTCTTCCCCTTCTTGTCCTTTTTCTCTTTGGACTTCTTCATATTCGGCCCCTCCTTCGGCTGTTCCAAATCATCCCGGACCTGCTTGGACTCCTCGGCCAAGGACCACACAAAGTCCCCCGAGAACGTCGGGAAGGCCGTGCGTTGCGCCAGCGCTGGCGCTGAGCCCACACCCACCACCTGCACGGTGGGGCGAAGCTCGGTGGCATGGGTGGATCCCCTAAGATGCAGAGCTTAGAGCATCATCTGAAGCTCAGTGGCCATCAAGCAACGCTGGCGCCGTCCCGATCCTTTCGGGTGCAGAAAAAACATCAAAAACTCTGCAAACCTACATCCCCTAGGGCTCCAACCACCTCCTGAGAAGGTGGTTGGGTTTTTTGGGGTCTAACCACCTTTTGAGGATATGGTTGGAGCCCTAGGGATCATACTTCCCTTGGACTCCCAAGAAACTCTTCAAAAGGGTCGATGGAGAACCCTCGTGATGGGAGCACCATCACTGAGAAAGTCTCGTCTTTAACACACACCTAGACCCTGACATGTGTGTATGTGTGTGTTTTTTAATAACAAATACCCCGTTTTCGTGTCAAGACGCATGTTTCAACTGTGGCCACAACTGATTCTTTGTGATGTTTCCAAGGGTTTCTGCCTGTTAAAAATCGGTTTTCTATGTTTTCTCCCCAATCCAACTCTACAGTGGGACACACCCTCACACTTAGCCACAACTCTACAGTTACTACTGTTTCTCTCATAAAGTCGAACACACCAGCCTTCTCCTTCGACTCTCCTTCGACTCTCTCCTTCTCACGGCGCGCGCCCCGCGCGCACGCGCCTTCTCCTCGGAGTTCAGTGCATCCAACTTGCCCTCGGCCAAGGCGCGCTTGGTGCGCAGCGCCAGTTGGATCACCTGACCCGCAGGGTAAGGAAGAGGAGCTGAAGGAAGAGGAGTCTTGAAGCAGTGACTTTGGGGGGAATTTCTCCAGGTTTTTGCCGCATGGGAATGGAGGGAAAACTTGGACCAACTGTTCCAAATTCTGTCTTTTGGAGCTTCTCCATCTATGGGCACATCTGGTGAGGGGGGTGAATTAACCATCAATCTGGGAATGGCGCTTTGTATGTTTTGTTGGTGACTTTTTTAAATCAACGGCGGACCCCAAATATCTCAGTTGAAGTTGAGTGTCGACTGCTTGGTGTCAAGAGATGAGTTGATGTGTAGACGCGCATCTGCACACTCCATTGGGTCCAGTACTGGGTCCAGCTTTTTGTGGGCAACGACCACAACCTGAGTACCGCTTGATCTACATTGGACAGGGATCAAACGTATTGTGCTTCCTTGTATGCTTCATGGACTGCTTCATGGTTTCGGTTCCGCAGAGTCTCATCTGACATGGTGTTGGAATGTTTTGGAGTGGAGCGCGGAGCGCCTGCCTGAGAGTCCGGATCGAAGGCATTGTCATGCGCAGTGGCTTCCAAATACGCTTCCTCGCGTATGCGCGCGTCGGCGTCGACGAGCTGCTTCAGGCATTTGTTTGAGGCAACTGAAAGAGTCGGGGCGGTGCACCAATGAATTCAGACACATCCAAGAGAATCAAAGCCTGCTTCATCCCTATTTCATAAGCATTCCTGTCTTTCGGAACAGTGGTGCCTCCCGCAGCTACGGTCACACAGAATTGCTCTCCCCTTCGTAAAGTCAAACAGAACACCCGCAGAATCGCCGGTTCAGAAGGATGCGTCACGCGTAAGACGTCGAGTCTCCTGCACGTGCTTGGGTTGATCATCAAACCTCATGTCGTGAGTCCGGTTCTGCTTCAGCGCAATGGAGCGGCTGGGCCTCAACTTCCCAGCAAAGCGCGCTTTTTGAGCCCAGGCCTCTTCGATGGCCAAGGCTTTCCTGGGTGAAGTGACAGGAGCAACCGACCAAGCAAGCAAGCAAGCAAGCAAACCAACCAAACCAACCAAACCAACCAACCAATACCATCCTATACCATATCCTATAATGTCTATACCATCCAACTCGTTGGACCACTTTCTACTATAGACATATTACACCTATATAAACTTATTATCATATCTCGAGATATCTCGAGCGCATCGCTGGACTTCAACTTAATAAGGTCAAAAATCAACCACACATCGCACACCCCCCCAACGCACGTCTCGTGTTGGACACCTTCTCGCCCATGTCCATTCGCAGTCTGGGCATCTTCACACGGTACTCCTCTCGCAGCGCTTCCCGCTCCTCCAGCTCCTCCGTGCGCACCTTCGGCTCAGCGCTCGCCGGCCTGTGGCCGTGGGAGACTGAGACCGGGGGGTGGCCATGGGAGTGTCCGTCCCTTTTGGCAGACCGGGGGGTGGGCGCTGAAGTCCGATGGTGTTTTGGGGGAACGCGCAAAAATTCAGGCTTGAGGACTATTGACGACTCCTACTAGGAACCGTGCCGAACACCAACGGCCCAAACTTCACCCTCCCCCCGAAACCGCCCCCCAAACCGCACCCGAACCCCCCCCACCAAAACCGCCACGTGCTATCCGCTTCTCTCCGAATGGCGCCCGATCCGGATGCGCCCCCAGGGGCCTGGGGAAGATCCACGGCTCGCTACTGGGCTCCAGCGAGTTCCGCGGCGCGGAGGCCGCCATGGGGGACGCGCGGCTTCACAGGTGGATCATCTGAGTGAGAGGTGGCTCCCACAAAAGCAATCCGGGGGGGCTGAGTTAGATGAGCTTTTGGAGAAAGACTTATAAAGGACTATAGAAGATCCAAGCAAAGAGAATTCACCATGATTGCCTGGTACATCTACCAACTTCTTGATCCAGCCAACTTGAAGTGACTCACCATGAAGTTGCTCTTCCATGAGAATAATATACTCATGTTTGATCATTTTTGGAGTAGCAAGAACGCTGGCGGTCCCTAGCCTAGCAATTTGATGAGTTTTGCGAGTCCTGTGTTGATCTGTGTTGTCTGATCGAAACCGAAGCCAGTAAAGTCGTGTTCAGGGCAACACGCCCCCACAAGTAGTTTTGCAAAATGCTGCAGTGCTCTGTCCATAAAAAAATCTTAAAACCACCTTCAATCCAGAGAAAACAGGTCTTCGAGAAACAGGTACTTCTGCATGGTGGTTGTAGACCAAGTCCATGAGTCCATCTCCCCTCAGGCTGATGGTGACAGGTCTGACATCACAGCCTCTGCATCACATCGAGCCGAGCTTGAAAGGCAGAGGTGCATGACACCCGACGCACAGGTCGAGTCCGGTGGACCACCCTAAAAACGCAGTCGTGAAGTAGGGTGGAGCGCGGATAATGCACGAAGACACTTGGATCTGACCCAAACTCGCAATCACATTCCTTCTGTTCTGCCTTTTGGGACTGTGTTTCCTTGCAACAGGTTGGCTCTTCTCCTCAAGATCTGTCACCGAAATGCCAAGAGGTCGTGGGTGCGGGGCGAAGGTGGGAACAGCAACTCGAATGTTTTTTTTACACCCTTGTGACCCCCAACAGCAGCTCTTGAACTTCATGAGGGCTCAGTCTGCTTTGCCTCAATATCTTCACCCAAACCCGTTTCGATTTGAACCCTGGCCCTGCACCCATGACCGCCTGGCATTTCTGTAACGGATCTTGAGGAGAAACACAACATGTTGCAAAAGACACTGCAGTGGTACAAGAAAACGATCGAAACGCGAGCATCCCGATCTCTCCTCCCGTCACAATGCCCACCGACATTCTGAGATATAGTGGCAGAGGTTCGATGGCACTAGCACCAGATGTCTTGAAAGGATGGGGGTCCAAATCAACCATCAAACTTGGACATTTGTGCCATCCACTCTTAATCCACTATATGTTCACCGACATTCTGAGAGATTGGAACAGCAAAACATCATGATCCAAACCTTCCTTCGAGGTCACAGCGGTCTATGGTGACTGCTGCATGTATCTACGTATATCTATCCACTCTCAATACCAGTCAGTTTTTGGAAAAAACCTCTATGATTCTTCACTGAAACATTGGCCCAGGGTGTTCAAAGACCGCTTAGTAACAAATGTCCCTTTCAAAACCTACCCTCTTTGAGGTGGGTCAACCGCTATCTTCTTCACCGATTCCTTATGGATTCCTTGGCTTCTTCCCGCCCAGCCACTGCAGCAAGACTTTCAACGGCGAGGGTGACATCGGGGAACCTCTGGCAGGATTGGCCTACATGGAGCGTCATGGATTAGGAGGCCAATGTAGTCCTATTCTATTCCACACATGGAGTGTCTGGGTGTATACAGAGCCAGGGGACTCGTGTATATCCACCTACTGGGGGAGAATCAGCAAACAACCTGCAGTGTTCATTGTAAAAGCCGTGGGTAGTCCTGATCTAACGTGGAGAGCTGCCAATGTCATCCTACATCGCGAACCAGGAGCGAACTTTGCAAACTCACGGGCGTTTAGAGATCTAATGGTGGACAACAAGCTGGCTGTCCTGATGTCCCTACCAAGCCTCAATCGCCTCAATAAAGAGCTCATGTTTGACGTCCCAAAGAACAAATGAATCAAATCACCAGCCTCATAAGGTGATATTTGAAGGCTTGAAGAATGGGATCATATCGGAACATCAGGGCAGGACACCGTGACAAATACTATCAGGCCATATTGACGGCCTCGGAAGTTTCCACTTACCCCGTGCCGATGAGGACGGCAAGACCCAGGAAACCCATCATATATGGAAGATTTATATGGTGGCCGGTGGCCGGTGGCTCAAACGTCTGAAAACTCGGTTATACATGTTCTTGGAACCCCCCGTGAGCCAGGATGTTCAAGCGCTTCAGGGTTGCGAGATTGGCTGCAAGTCAAGACCCAACAAAGAAACATCAGAACTCCTTGCTCAAAAATCAGACGTTGGTAAAAGGATTTAGGATGATTTAGGTCAAGACGTTTGTGCAGGGTATATCATCATGTCATTAAGGAATCGGATGCCAAGCCTCCAGGGCCCCGAAATTCCGAAAGAGGACCACCCTCTGCACACAGGATGTTCGGGGAGAGCCCCATAGTGCCTAGCCCAAAAAATCAACAAGAACATATTTGTTAACATGTGTATAAACAAATGACGTACACTACACATATTGTCACAAATAGACTCTAATATCTACTTATTTGCATTGGAGCCATCTGCTCCTTTTTCTCCTGCATTCCGCTGTCCGCCGCCGCTGAGGCTCGGCACGCTTCGGACTGTCTCCCGAGTGCAACCGCTCCTCACAGGACGGGCGCCGAACGCTGCGCTGCACCGCAAGACGCGGATCTCGTGAGCCTGGTGAGCCCGGAGCCCTTCTCGGTGCCCAGCCTTGTTGCCCTTGCCCTTCTTGGTATCTCTATACTCCACTCTGCTCGTGCAAAGGCTTATTCGTTTAGGACGGGTTTGTGCGAAGACACCGTGTCTGGGCCTATTCCCGACCCTTGCAGCGGTAGTGTGCCTGTTTTGCAAAGGATCCTTCGTTCCAATGGAAAAACACACACAGTCGAACACGTCGTGTCTTGACACCGACAAACATCCCACGAACACATTCTATTCACCTGCCTTTGGTGTGATCTTCCCAAAGGTTGGTAGATCTTTCGTCCTTCACTCCTTCCTGAGAAGATGCGAAAAAAACAAATATATAAAAAAAAGTAGCTCCCTTGGACCAGCGCTCGTTCCGTGTAGCCTTGACAACCCGAACCTCTTTGGGCTCTTCCTTCTTCCCTGTCCCATCCCGCCACACAGATCGCTACACTGTGGAAAGAACCACCCCCAACCGGGACCTGCCAGGTGTGTAGGACTTGAGCCACATCGGCCAGCATCAACCGGGTGGTGCCTGGCCGGAGCTCGGTCGCCGGACTCTGCCGCCCGGAGCTTCGCGGCTTCGCTTCGGCCAGTGGAGCTCGGGGGGTTTCAGGGCCTCCTCAGGATGTGGTGGGAGCACCAGGAGGGGTGCGGGAGCAGGAGAGATGGAAAGCTGGGAAAGTCTGAAGCTCCGGAAGTGCGCGAGCCGAAGAGAAGATTTGTACCAGGGCCCCCTAAGGGGTGGCTGTTAGTAGCCCCGGCCCTTAGAGGTTAAGGGGTGTGTGTCCATTCACCACCCCTTGTGCATCCTGAATTTCTGTATATTATTGCTTGCATATGTTGACCAGGCTACCCCAGCGGCCGCCGACTGCCCGATGCTCCTGATGACTCTAGCTGCTTCGCTTCTCGCACAAACTGCTGCGCCTCATCACTGAGATGGTGACAGTGCGTCAAGAGCCAAAGCCACCAGAAAATGATCACGATCCAAAGGCAAAACGGAGAAATTACCCCGTGAACTCTGATACATCTGTTCTTCCTCGAGCTGGGGGAGGTGTCCAACGTCGTCTTAAGCTATGCAAACCTTTGCGCGAGAATTCCTTGTGACCATGCCATTGTCCCTCTGGAGTGACGAAATTCCTGAACGCCACGACTGCACAAGTCACGCTTTCCTAGATCTTGACTCCTGTGGCTGGCAAGGGGAGACCCGAAGCAAAGCATGGGGAGCTTCTAACCATCCCCAAAGGCCCAGAACCCATAAAACTACCAAATCTCCTACGGCATGTAGAGTATCTGGGATGAATCAGCCAGTCCGTATACATCAGCCGCAAGTCCCGGTCCACTGGATCAGCTGAACAGTCGCACTTGGCTTTGCAACGAATTCTGATCATCTCAACTGGCGACAAATTTGAAAGTTCCTGCTCTTTAAAGCAACCCAAGCACTCCTGGGTCTTCCTAGAGCATCAGTGGAAAGAGCAACCCAAACTTTATTGATTGGCCAGTTCCTGCACTCCTGGGTTTTGCATCAATCATCGCATCCTCCGCCCTGCACATTCAGCCTCCCAGCTCGGTCGACAAAACACCAAGCACCCTTCGCCGCCCCACTGCCAAGGCGCTAAGTCGGAGGACTTCCTTGGGGAGTCCTCAGGTCGGATCGGCGCGCAGGTCAGCGCGCAGGCGCTGGAGGGAAGTTCAGGTCCAAAGGTGTCCGTTGCAACCCCTTTGGTCCCCCAAGTGAGTCTTCAAACTTTAGGGATTCCTTCAACAATGAAATTTGTTGGTGTTTTCAGGAAGCCTTCCGAGGGCGCAAGGCTCCTGTTGGGCTCCTAGAGGAGGACCAGACTCATGAAGTGCGGCATTTCGAGTCTTCAAGACACATTGCACCCCAAGTTTTCAGCCCGGTTATCCCACGAAACATTCACCTTATAGGCCCAGTGCAACTCATCATCTCTGCAGCTTACGAATGCAGGACTCACTGGATGGACCATTCAGTGCGTTTTTTCTCCAGCTGGGTGAGGATCAAAGGAGCTTGGCACCTTGGGAGCCCCCTTCCCTGGGTCCCTGGGCTGAGTTGAACCGCCCAAAAGCGTCGATAAGATGGTCGAAGTCCGAACGAAAATCCCAGGCGTTCGCGCCTCTGTGAGCCCCAAAGATGACACACCTCCACTCACCTGCGCGTTGAGAAGCTCTGACAGAAGTAGGTAGCTGTGAAAGTCCTTAAAATGGAGGGAAAGACCGCACCCGCCTGCATTGGGAAATTGCTGGTGAAAATCATAGGGTGTCTGTTTCTTGTGATTGTGGTTATGATTACCCTACACCATCCTACACCCTGACATAGCAAGCATCACACTGATTCAAAGAGACAGCAATTGCCCTCAAGGCTGCCAGTTCTGCGGATGAAGAGTCTGCACTGATTTGTTGCATATGTTGTTCCAAAGAGACAAATTCTTGGAGACCAACAAGTTCCACCATCAAGTCATCAATTTTCAAGAAGCTTTGTGGACCAGAGCTTGGGGTGCCTCAGATGCTATAAATATGTACGTATGTGAAGAGGGGCACTGGCAGTTAAAACCCATTGAAGGCGTCCTGTTGGAGACCATGTTCTATATGCATCTGACGACAACAGAAGTGGTGACATCTCAGAAATGATCTGGACTATATAGATAAATTGGGATGGGTTTGCCCTAAAACTCACCAGGAAAATTACAGGAACTGGACCTGCATTAATCTTCATGAAACACTCAGCAGTCAAAGCACATTGCGAGCAATGCCGCCTTGTCTGCGACATTGCTCCAGGCAGCCTGCGACTTCAAAAACGGCAACGATGCGAGAACCTCTGGACAGAATAGCCACTGGAGTCTATTCAACACGGAGAGGAACAAAACACTGCCACTGCAGATGTTCGCTTGAGTCGCTTGAGTGGTGTTTCTTTGAGGGGCCGAACCCTATTGGGTGGTGCCTCTTGGTAGTTTGGAGTTTCTGGCCCCTGTGTTGCTATTAAGGAACCGGAACCGGGAAAGAGCAACGATACGTACATGTTCCCCATGCCAGGAGATTCGCCCACAAGTCAAAGATAAGACCTCACACCATCCAAAAAAGAAAAGAAACATCGCCGTGCCTCGCCCTGCTCCGCCAAAGTTTGTGCCGAGGCCAGGAACTGCTCGCCCAGCTGGTGGAGCTCCGCCTGGCGAACCGGACCGGACGAGCTCATTTTGGTTTGGAAGATTTCGGGGGGAGGTCTTCCACACAAATGTTCTATGTCTTGTTTTAGGGAAGAAGGTATCGAAAGTGAGACCAGGTATGACAATCAATTGGCACCCCTGAACGGGTCTCCAGGTACTAGTGAATAGAGTGAATGCTTGTGATGCACATTACTCATTTAATCATCGTTAACATCAGCCACAGCGTGGTCTCAAAGACAATGAAATGGCCTCCAGTATGCTGGAGACGCTAGGGTTTGGCCTCAAATCTGAGGTTGACAGCTTCACCAAAATCTGTTGAGATCTGTTGAGCTTTGGATGAATGCTTCCCATCTGCGCTGATTTGTTCAATAAACTGTTTGAAGGGATCCAAAAGATGATCCCTTGGACCCGGCGAAAGGTCAGGGAACCTGAGCTGATCCAAGCCGACTTCAGGGAGGGCCGATGGGGCGGACGCTGCGTTGCAGGATTCTTTTTTGGTTCACCTGAGCTGCTTCACCTGTTGAAAGAAAAACCTCCACCACCGACGAGATGGGGAGCATTGAAACCTCTTCTGGAGGGGTTCAAAGACCTTCGCCACCTCTCTTTCAATTTCTAGATAAGGATTGCAGGATGTAGAAGATCGTGTTGCTCCATTTCCCAACTTCACCAACTCGACATCCTGTTCGCCTGCTCGGCCAGGCGCTGTACTGAGCTGGCGGCGCGGTTCAAAGTGTCCCGGAATTGGTTGTTCCACTCCTGCCATCGGCTGGAGGGGGACTGAACATCCAAGCCAGTATATAATGTATAGACTCTTGACTATGTAAAGGGAAAAACACACATCATATGACATGTTGGGTTTTAGGCTTCTTAGCCCCTTTTCACATTTTGCCGTTTCATCCTTTTTCTCTGCTCATGCCGTTTCAGTGGAACGTAATGCTGGTGGCCCAGTCATGGGGAGTTTGCGCGAGCTCGAGAGGTAGAATTTCCATGTTGCAATCCAAATTGCGGGGTTTATTCATCATGAGTACAGTTTTTTGGTGTCTATATGCGTTTGGGTGTCAGAACTGGCAACCACTGCAAGAACGTACCACCTCTAAGTCTTGGCTCTGGTCACTAGAAACCCTTTTGGGACATCGTCCTGTAGGCCTCCAACCCTCGACCCCGCTCCTGCGCCCCTCCACGAAGCCAGGACATGGGGCGCTTGCGAACGTGTTGATCCGCCGGAGGCTCACGGGAATCTGATCTTATCTCCGGACACTCGAAGGATCGCTTTCAGGGATGAATGTAGGATAATGTAGGCATACCTTCCATACATGGAGCCTGGCAATAAGAGGTATTATACGGTATATATATATACATATATATCTAGCATATAAATTCTGGAAATGTCAAAAGGTTTGACACTGACAATGTCAGTCTATGTCAAAAGGTTTGATGTTGAGATCCTTTGAGGGAATGTTGAAAGCGTTTTTTGTAGATCCAGAAGCACTTAATGACAAAAAAGGGTCCCCAAAACGTTTCAGAACGTTAAACAATATATAATTAGCCTGTGAAAGTAACTTGCCAGAGACAAGGTGATTTGTTCGTCTCTTCTCAAGAGAAACATGCCCAAATGACAGGCCTTGAGAGTGCACAAAAAAATGGAGCCGTTTGAAGACAAGTTGCGATGTTCAAATCTCTCGGAGCCGTTTCTGCACAAGACATGTTTTCATCACTTTTCAGTACAGGAGCCTGCATTCCTGCCGCAAAAATATATGTCTTTTCGGAGTGAGTGTCGAGTCATAGGCAGTCTATGCGATGATTCGAATCCACCTTCATATACGGATTTCTGGCATCTTTGTCTAGCAGGCTCTGCATACAGTTTTCACCCACTCTTTCCAAGTGGCGACTCAACGCGAGGTCTGTTTACCACCTTTGGGCCGAAAGGTCTGTTTGCATGCGTGGGCCGAAAGGTCAGCCCTGTCATCTTCCAGCTACCAGGTCATTGTTCAACATGCATGCAGACAATGCACACATACTATGCCCTGATTGAAACAAAGGTGCAGGATTGAGAAAACGAAAACCGGTTCAAGATCCGAACACAGCCCGTGGATGTTTCAGCATCTGTGCGGAAAGCTAAAAACGAAAAGCAAGTGAGAGCTGTGAAAAAGAGAACAACACTGACTGTGAGCAGTTTCATGTCTCTGAATCTGTGGCCTACCAGTTCTGTTGCATTTTCATGCATTTTCATTTAATCCACAGAAATCGGAGGAAGCGCAAAGCCCCATGCCCGAATGAAAGCAGCTGCTGAATGTTCTTCAGGATATTGACCAGCCAAGCAAGACAAAGGCTCCATGCAGCAGCACGTTCGATCTGAGCACATTCCTTAAACAGGAACTCTGCTGCTTGCATGTCTTGCTGCTCATACTTCACTCTGCCCAGCGCATGCAAAGTCACTGCAAGAGAAGAGCTCTGTTCACCACCAGGAATAGCACGTGTGATCTTCACACTTTCCTGCAACAGGGACTCTGCTGCTTGCATGTCTTGCTGCTCTAATTTCACTCTGCCCAGCTCATGCAATGTCACCGCAAGGGAATGGCTCTGTTCACCACCAGGGGCAGCACGTTTGATCTGAGCGCTTTCCTGAAACAGGGACTCTGCTGCTTGCATGTCTTGCTGCGCAGATTTCACTCTGCCCAGCTCATGCAAAGTCATCGCTAGAGAAAGGCTAGGATGGCTGTTTCCCGCAATTGCTTGCAGCAACAGAATCGTCTCCAGGGTGAGGAGCTCTTTGGCTCCAGGACGTTGCTGCAACAAAGAAGCAGCGCAGGACACAACACCTGATCTTGGGGCATCGTGGACAGTGGTGTTCTGTAAAGCAGCTTCAATGGCACAGTTCAAAGTGTCAAGCCTTGGCAGAAGTGTATGTACCTGTGTTGTGTGCTTGTCACTGCAGTCGAAACAAACATCCCACTGACAATCACGACAAGTCAGGGCACCCTCAGTTTTTGCAAAGCTGCCACTGCAGATATCGCAAACCCAGCCAGAATGCTTTTCTTGAACATGCTTGAGTTCGTGAGTCCAAGGACAAATCCTGTGTCCAGCCTGCCAAAGGGCGCAATACTCTTCCGTCCGTTGCGTCACCCTCAGAAAGAAAGACTCCCATTCATCAACTTTACCTTGAACCAAGTCTATCTGTGAGCCATCTGGCAGCTGAGATCCTGCAACTGAGCTAGGTCGCAGATTGGCACTGGTCGGGCCCAGCGTCGTGATTTCAGGATGAAGTGTGGTCGCACCTTCTGCGGTGATCGTCTCCTGGCGCAAGTGTTCGATCACCAGTTGAGCCCCTTCCGCTGCCGTCCAAACGGAGAGGGCCTGCTGCAGGATCAGTTCAGGGCTTGCATTTGGAACAGAATCTTCAGCGGCAATCTCCTGAAAAATGCGGAGCAATGGTGTCTGGGGCACGTTTTCCACCTGAGGCAATCTGTCATCAGCATCTGCCACAAGCAATCGAAGGATGTCGATTGCAGCTTCCTGAATGGTTTCAGCGTTCTGAAGCCGCTGCTCTAGATCACAAGCGTTTGTGTGTGTGATATCCCTGACGTCATAATGTAAACCCAGAAAGTGCATTATAAATATACACATGGTTACACATGCATGAATCGTGTACACCCAAATCCTGAGTCGGTATGCAAGAAAGATTTGATGTTCTTTTGTCAGCATGGTCTTCAACACTGCAAACTAGTTCTGTTCTCCCAACAAATCGCTGTTGCCCAAGACAGCTGTACCACTGAATCTCAAATGCACCCAAGATTGTGCATACTGTTCACAAAGTTCAAACGTTGCACCAAACAAAGATCGATCTGAGAATCGGTCGCTCTGATGATTGGGTATGGCATCGGCCACATCATGATATCACAATGACATAATGAAGCACTTGTGCCAACAAGTATGTTTAAATATCGTTTGATTGTAACTAAGCATGGCAGGAAGATATTGAACTTCCTTCGGTACACAAGGCCCTTCGTGAAATGACTGAACCAAGGCTTTGGCACTTGCCTTTTCGTGCCTGAATACCTGCTCCACCGATCTGTACCTTAGATTCCAACTATTGGTACTATTGGTAAATGTCAAAGTCGCTATGTACACGGATCAGATGCATGGCTGTAGAATTGGCTGAGGCTGTAGAATGAGTGTCCAACCAAACGTCCAAGGATTTCAAAGAGAGAACAGGATCAACCATATAATGGTCCATGGTGATCCACAGTTTCGGTAAACCATGTCAAGAGATGAGCTTCCATCACCCAGCGACTGTGAGGCCGATTCTGTGCGTGTCACTTGTGAGCCCCAGAAACTGGCCGGTCACAAGGACAGACTGTGAGGCCATGCGTCTGAGATCATGGACTGAACCTCAAACAAATGGTTGTGCATCTATACTATACGTATTATAGTATATGTCCATTACAGTATGTATAACTATACATTTATAATAGTTAAGCCCTTCCAACGTCGTTCGATGGCAAAGCCTCCCCGCCCTTCCGAAAGGCCTTTTTGTTCGATTGAGGCGGAAGGCCTATACCCCAAGCGATTGCCTTCAGCAACGGGATATGTACACACATGAGTGACACGTGCCAAACGGCTCTCGCAAAACGCACGTTCGTGCAAAGCATGGGGAGCGTTGGGACTTTTCCACAGAATTGGCGCAGGTTAGGGAGCGCGACACATCTCAGGGTGTGAAAGTCGTGAAGAGAACCCAAATCCCGAGTTAGTTACAGTTAGTTATTGGGTGGCAGAACACCCTTAAGAGGTTTGAATGGCTACAGAACGTCCTGGGTGAGGATTGCTTGCTTTGACTCCTGCATGAATGGCTGCAAAAGGATGACTTGTAAAAACGAACGTCGCGGCGCGCGAGGGCCACTCGTGGGGTTCGGCACTTGAGAAGAGTTTAAATTGGCATTGAGCTCTAGGGCCAGGAGCGATGGCAATCCACATGGAGTTCTAATTGCCAATTCAGTTCTGCAGTACCCTTCAGATATAAAAAAAGAAACTCCCGAACCAATGGCTCCTATCAAGTGCTGCTGCCTATAGGTTCCTTGCTACCCAAAAAACGGGGAGACCTAAACGAGCTCGTCCATCCATTCGAGAGATCGCTCCTCTCAGCAGCGTACTGCAGGCAGCCCTGGACGAGCTCTGACTTATTCGGCTCGGGCAGCTTCAAAGGTCCGCCCGCTTTGTTGGCATTTGGACCAGAGATCGGAGTGGAGCAATGCAAGAGCATTTCTGGTCATTGGTCAAAGAAACAACAAAGTATAGACAGACACAATGTATATTGAATATTGTGATAATATTGTGTATATATGTATATGGAGGACTCATGATGAGGTTTTGGTCCAAATTCGCAGCGGATCTTCATTCTTGGGGGAAAAAGAAGATCCCACCTTCGTCACGTCCCCCACTGACCCAGTCCTCACCTTCTCGCTCAGAACCCACAGCCCACGGCTGGTTCGTACCAGTCACTCACCAAAACCAATGATATGTGTTCAATAAAGGTTTCTTCCAATTGCAATCATTGGTTTCGTACCAATTGCTCATATGATATGTTGTCATTGTTTTCTGTGATTGCAAGGTTTCTTCCAATCTTGCAGGTGAGAGCAATGACTAAAATGCCCCTCCTCTTCAAGCCCCATTCCAAGGACCTTCGCGACTGCGAACCTTTGATGTGCCCAAGACGTCACGCGCGAGGCGGACGTGGTGCTGAAGAAACCGCGACCCACGTCCCGCGATTCGATTGGTCTTGGGTCAAAAAGTCAGGAGCCCTGGAAATTCCAGTGGTCTGCGAATGTTTTCTTCCAAAACCATGGACACCCATATCCACATAGGTGCAAGGGAGTTAAAGTGAGTTGATCTGGTACGTTGATCCAATCTTCAGAAGTGGATGACTGGGATGACTGACTGTCAGTGGACTTGAACAACATCCATGCATAAATGAGTTCTGTATGGATCACCAGGGCCTGCATTTCAGAATAGAAAACTACAGATGACAGATTCTGAAGACAAGAGCTGGGAATTGACCTGCTACTATACTTTGAGGGAAGCTACCTGTGCAAAAAAAAAGCAGAACATGGCAAAATGATATGTAATTCTAGATTCTAGACCCCACCCAACTTACTGCGTTGTACTGCTTGCTTGTTGTGGGCTAGCTACCCCAGGGCCTGCAAAGCTGACGCTAGACGCATCACGCGACCCGATTTCATACCAAGCACAAGAACTATGACAGCACAGCCCAGCGATGCCTCTGGCAGCCAAGCGATGTCATATTGTGCGATCTCCGCTTGGAAGGTGATTGATATGCCTTTCAACTGTGCAGACTATGACTATGACTGCAAAATTCCCGGTGGCACCGAGCATTAGTTCGGAGGATTGGCCTTTGAGATGACACCACCCCACCAAAAGAATCGACTCTCGACAGCAGGGGTCCGGACGCTTATTACCATCTTTTCCATTGGTTCGGTCCTAAATTCCTACTGCAGTACTGCTCTTTAAGTCCAACCTTCTACCATGAGGCTCTGGAGGAAACCGCTGCCAACAGCGTCGAAGCGTCATCCTTCGGTAGATGGAATCCTCAATCTACCACAGGAAAGGGGGGTTCTATGATTCTTCGGATTATCTCATCATTTCATCCACTTGGGATGGCGTTTGAAGGGCACTTGGGACCATCTATGGGGATGTATTTTGTTGATGGACAAACTTCCTCAGTGGGATTCAGTGGTCGAAGTAAGCATAGACTTCCAATATATAGAAGGATTCATGCATTGACTCCCCAAACATGACCCTGGAAGTCTTTGGAGTCAATTTTTCGAGCGCTAAATGGCCTCCAGCTTACTTGATGAGCGACCTCTCAAAAAAAAGAGGCTCAAAATCTATCATCTCCATTCATCTCCTACTTTTGACAAGGATCACCAAGTATTTCCATATTCAGTGAGTTGATCCGACAGAAGTCGGTGCCTCCTCCTCTTGCGGAGCCCGCGGAGGCCTCAGAGAGGCGACTGGCACTGCACTGGAACAGCTAGGCGCTGCCGGAACAGCCAGCTGCTGCAGCTGATTGCAAAGACTTGCTGGAGGACAAGACCACATACCTCAGGAAGGAGAGGGATCGTGGCAGGGTGGAGGGCAAGGCGGCGAAGGTGGAGAAGGTATGAGGGAAAACAAAAACATACAAAAACAGGTTCACAAGATCTCACAAGATCTCACAAGATCTCGCCAAGACATGCCAAGACCATCTAGATTAGATGGAAGCCAGTGTGCGACTACGCTGGATGCCATTCCCAGCAAGGAGCTGATGTTCTATCGTGGATGGTCGTCCAAATGCCAAAGACCCAACCATGTTCGTCGAGGATTTGAGGACCCCCCCAATCGAGGCGAAGAGCACGGAGGCTCCAAAAGCAAAGGCCCCCTCTATGGCGCCAGCCAGAAAACAAGATACTGTACCAAGAGAGTCAAGAACCTACAAATTTGTAGATCCTTTATGGAAACATGATGCTTTGGCCAAATCCTTGGTATACCAAGCAAAAGACCAATTGCCCGCCTTCGATCGGTCGGCGTCCTTTTTGTCTGTTCGCTTCAGCACCCCGAGGGGGGTGGCCCTCCATCGAAGCAGGACTGGGCATTTCGTGGGTTTTCCCCCAAACGCTCTGAGCATTTCTTTGGTGCCAAAAGCATGGGCTTCCCAGTATGACATGGACCCGTGGAAGACCAGTTTCCTCCAAACAGGTGATTTGCCACTTCCATGTTAATGGATTGCATCCCACTTCAATTGAAACATTGTTGTCCTAAGAGTCCTTGCAGCCATCAGAGTGCATGATCACATCTCACTTAGCAATTTCTCACGCACCAAATTCAGTGAATCCAATGCCTGCCTCCCAACGTGCTAAATCAAACACACCTCAATATCACCTCAATCGCATCAATATTTACAACATCCACTCCACTCTTGCCAAAGAAATAGGATGAAATAGGTCTACTCTAGTAGTCACGTAGGTCCCCATCATTTGACCCCACTCCTACCATTTCATGCCATGTCGGACCTCTCGAGCTGGAGATCCCTAGACAATCAAGGTTTATACCGAAAGGTACGAACGCACTGTGGGATTTTAGTGGGCAAACCCATCCTCCCCCAAAAAAAGTTTAGAGGTTATCCACTAACGAGTCACGTTATGTTTTCAAGATGCGTCCTGACCACACCATGGCACACCCGAAGAAATATTCAAAAAGTACTGTCTTGTCTTGTCTGATGTCGCGAATCCTCCGTGCTCGGACGGACGTGCTCTAGTGTGCTTCAAAATGAAACGTAATCATTGAAGGGGTGTTCAGCAGGAGTCAACCTTAAACAATATGAACTTGAACACAATGGTTTCTCAACCACCCTGGAACCCACCTTTGCTTTTCATCTCACTGCTTGATGCTTGGAACATCTGAAGTTTCTATAACCCCCTGCCATCTCCCAAGCTCGCTGCTACATGTGACACCTCCCAGGTCACCATAGTCTTCCACCCTCTTCACCCTGCTGTTGGCCGTGGCACGTGCACCAGATCAGCACCAAAAACACCGCAGTGATATGCTTGCAGCGTCGGGGCCCTCCCAACTCTCCACCAAAGGCCTGCGACCATCTGACCAGGGCAGGTGGCGGATGGGAGGTGTATCTCAGAAATCAAAATAGGCGAAGTATACTCCCTGAAAAGGTCTGTTTGGTTCCCCTGTCACTGCTTTGGTATGATTTCATCGGTGATCCTTTCCGCATGGAGGAAAACTGCGGTTGGTTTCGGTGCACAGCGCTGCAGAAATGCCGTCTCAGAGATCGACATTCAGCCGTTGAAATCCATCAAATCCATGCTGTCTCGGGTCTGGGACAACCATCCAACAGCGGAATCCATCGGTTGTTCGTTATGGTCTTGGGTCTGTTAGTCTTCCCATCCTCAGGTCCATCGAGAGTACTTCCACTTCCACCTGGATTCGCTGAACTTTTCGAGGTGATGGGTTCGAATCGAGTGTCCATCTGGAACAAGTCAGTGACTGATCCAAATCACTTGCGAGTGTGGGCGAATCATCTTGCGGTCCATCTACGAGTAATCCCCGAGTCCTTTGGAGTCATTGGCGATTCCCTTTTCATCCCTTCATATCCATTTCACTACTTGAGAAATTCACCCAAACGTTTCAGTCCTCTCAACGGCCATCATCTCCTGCGCCGCGAGGTCCTCCCGCGCCTTGCGCCGAAGGAAGAGGGTGGACATACAGAGCACGGCGCCAGCTGAGAAGATCACCACGCTGTAGCCCAGATCGCCACCTGCAGCGCAAAGGTCTATCCAGCAAAAGTCAAAAGAGCAGCGGAAAGATTCGGTTTTTGACTTCTCTGCAAACACATGACCAAATGGGCTGGGGTGGTTGAGAAACTTCCGGAAACCCATGTAGACCGCATCGACGCTTCGACGTGGAAGTCCGAACGACGAACCTTCGAGGAACCGACGAGCCAACGGAAACGAAGGAAGCATCGATGGCGCCGTGTTGCGAAATGCTGAAGCGTCTGAGTATTCTTCATGTGTCGTGTTATTCTTCTCAGGCAAGACTCGTCATTTCATGATTGTTTAATCATTGAATAATAAGGATGAATATGGATGAATATGGCCCGTTCTCTTTCCAAAAGGACGTGGAAAGTGTTCTTAGTACGAACCGGTACCTCCCCTGAATCTCTGCTCAGTGGCCTATAACGACGAACTTGCCACCATCGCTGTTCCAGCTTTCAAAGCGCGCCTGAAAAGGCGGCGGAGCGAGCTTCTGAACACCAAGCAAATTAATGAACAAGGACTCAGGACCATGACTCAGCAACTACAGTTGCGCAAGACAGAGATGCCGGTCGGGCCCAGATCTCTCCTTCACAAGGAAGACAGCAATAATATCAAAAAGAACAAGAAAAAGAACCAGAAAATGTGTTCAGCCACTTCTCCAAGAACGCAGCAAAACCAACGAAAAGAACACACACCTTCATAGCCCCACCCGGCAAACCCTCTCAAACCGGACCACGAGCCGAGAAGGCCACGCGGCACCGCGCGCCTGGCCGCTGTATTTCGTTTGCCACTCCTCGGTTCGGCCCATGGCCGCCCAGTAGATGGAGCCGATGGTCCAGGGAAGTCCCAAACCCAGAAACCTCGGGGCGAGCGAGCGCGGAACGAGAGCAGCGGAGCGGCGGCAGGGAGGAGGCTCTGGAGGTGGGGGGTTTTTTAATGGCCTGACATGAGATGAGAGGTGGAGGAATAGATGTGTTGCGGAAACTGAAGAGAAAGAATTGTGTTTAAGTGCTTCATGCCAAAAGAAAAGGCAGCAAAAAAAACACCACGTTGCTGCGTTACGACCGCCGATCCTGCCAAGCTGCACGTTCACAGAGTTGCTCCCGGTGACATTCCCGATGGAGGCATCCGCATAGGGGTCCTGAGGCATCGAACGAAAGATGTCAGGTGAAGGAGCGAATGTGATGGGGCGGCATGACTGCATGGTTTGCCAACATCTATGGTTTGCCAACGGGAATATGTCTATCAGCAATGTATGAGTTCTCTTTAGACACAGACCTTAAGTTGCCTGCCACGTGTCATGACCATTTCCTTTTGTCATGTCCAACTTGGACATGTTGGGTTGTGGGAACCAGGAAAAAGGTCCAATACAATTCCTGATAGGGATGAATTCAGAAGATTCTAGATTTCTTCAACCAGCCGAGCAGTTTGTCTTTCAGGAGAGGTGATTACCTAGATCCCGCCAGCTAAGACCTAAAGCAGGATGGTCGGAACCCACAAACGAGCATCAGAGATGAACTCCCAAGCGGTTGACTCCATGAATTTCACCAGAAACCTCACAAATCACGACTAACCCCCATGACACATCCAAAATATCAGAAGAGGCCCTGTCTCAGACACAGCGGGAGGAAAATAGTTGACCTGACAGGATGGCGTTCGCAGACCTTATAGGTTTACCCTCACCACAAGGAACGAACGACCAGCCCACCCGTCCCGGTCACGTCGCCTGTTCCGCGGCGGCCTTGGAGGCAAAGGTGTCCGGCAGAGAGGTGCCCAACGCCACCTGCAAAAGACCGGAGAATTCAATGCATGTCTCACTCCGGAGGAATTCATTTGAGAGAAGGTCACTCTTGCAGATCTTCTGCTAGAGTAAAAAAACAATTCTATACCAAGAATCCGGTAAATGAACCAAAAGGGGACCAAAGGGGACCTATATAAGGTACCCATCAGTCTACGAGTTCCACCAAGTTTGAGGTATAGCACCCTCCTTGCCACGGTGGTCACAGTGCTTTTGGCATCCCCAGACGTCTCCGGAGTCGTCGCCGACTCCCAAGACCCGACTCCGAAAGCGACCGCCGGTGGCGAGGAACGACCGAACGGCGGTGGAACGTGGACGCCTGTGGCGCGGAGAAACCAGCGACCGGCTGAGCGGCGTGTAGCCCGGTGACCAGCTCCGAGAGTGGCGGATGTCATCTTCCAAAAGGCAAAACTCGAAGTCGGTGAACCAAACACATTTGGAGAACCGTCTTCATCCCCTCTGAAACATGTGGGTCTGGACGTGGTAGACCATGTTGCACTGTTGCACCGGTCATTTGGACCACAGACGTGGCACCCCCCGCTCTCGCGTCTCCCGTCTCCTCCGCACCCCCGCGGTGCCCACGCGTTGGCACACGTGGGGACCCCCACCAGCGTGATCGCCGTGACGAAGTCTGGCAGGTCGAGCACACAGCCCACCAAGCCCTGTGACGACATTCCGAGATTCTGCAGCGTTTCACCAGGCTCGGGTTGGAGCAAGGGGGGTCCTGGACCGGTGATCTGACCAACACATCGAAGAGCATGACAGCTCATGACAATTGGAACAAATATAAGAAATACCAGCTAATTCTTCAGGAGAAGGAACGTGTTGCAACAGCAAATCTCAAATCCAATGCAACTAGGTTCGATCACCTTCGACGACATTAAGCTTGCAGGAAGGAGTTGAATGACGATTCACTCCTGGAGATACTGTACTCTCCCATCATGGCTCTTGACTCTTGGCTCAAGCTTTGAGCCACTAGCCTTGAAGCGGTAGGTGCTAATATCTTTTGGATTGATCACTTGTACTTACAGTAATCACACCATCATTACACCCTTCCCTACCAAACCCCTTCGAATCGACTCCCCACCACACCGTCATCCTGGAAGTTTCACCCCACTCCCATCCGCATGGCTGCAGCTTCCCGAGTTCCCCCACCGCTAGATCGCTGATCAGGGCCGTGACCATACCAATGAAGCACAGGGAGATGTAGAAGCAAAGCCAACCACCGCAGTAATCCTGGGTTTTTTCAAACCCGCGCGTCACCGCATCCCTCGTCGTCACCTGTAACGCGCCCACGCGCCCACGTCGTCGTCGACGGGGACCGTTTGGAAGTGTTGGATGTGAGGTGTTCGACTTGTGGAGATGTGGATGGGTTTGGGGGTGGGTGGGTGGAATGTTCGCCATGGCTGTTGCAGTTGTTGCGTGTGGTTTTGGCATTGACTGGTGGTACAACGGCACAACATGTTTTTGAGGAAATAAGCGGCTTTCGACATCCTTGACAGCGCCAAGCGGATAGAAATACACCAGAAACCAGCAGTTGTTTTTTCCGGTTTTGGCCCTTCAAAACTAGGCCACCAAGAGATCCAGTCATCATCCCAAGTTCGCAGTACAGTGTTTACGGTGTTTTTGGATGTTTCTTGTGCCACTGGGTCTTGACCCACACCCCCGAAATCGAGTGGAGATCTGGCCCATGGTCACCAGTATCCCTCCATTTCCCGCCAGTCACTGCTTCCTCAGTTCGGGTGTGAAAATGAACCAACTTCGCCCCTTCACCCCACTGAGGTCTCACACACTGCACAAAGGTGACCCCTGTGCATTCCCCTAGAACCATTTGGCTGCAAGAGGCAAGTGCCTTTGGTCTTTCTTCCCCCCGGCTTACGGGAGTAGCTCTCTCCCCCAGAAAACCTCTTGGTTGCCCTGCCTTTGCAAGAAGGTTCCTTCTCCAATTGGTTTCCCTATTTTCGGAACTCAGGGGTCATCTGAGGCTGAGGTTGGATCACTAAGAAGGTCAGCCTTCAACCAGCATCTACATCCCAAGGCACCACAGGTGGAATCATTGCGAAGACGACCTTCCAGGGCAAAGTCAGCAAGTGTAGAGCCCACCTCAGAAAGTCCAAGAGAGGTTGGGAGACCTGAACTAGGACCCTTTAGTACGCATTTCATGGGCTAGGATGGTCCCAGCCAGTGACTCTGGCTCGCATTGAATCAGTCTGGGTCACTTTGAACCAGGTCCATTGACTAGCACCTTGCACCGGTTGCCGCCAATTTGACCGCTCAATGCTTCAACTTCGCTGTGTCCCAGCTCATCCATGCAGCACATGGCAGGAGATGGCGAGAGGTTCTGTTTTGTTTCCCCATGAGCACTGTGGCCAGAAACCTGCGGGGACACTGTCTGACTGTCTGGCTGGCTGGCTGTATGGTTGCATGGTTTCATGCTTGCATGGTTGGTCGGTTGGCTGGCTGGATGGATGGATGCTTGCTTGCTTGCTTGTTTGTACGTATATTCAGTGCAACTTCACACACCAACCTTGTTCCCTTCTTTCACTACCACCTCACAGCGCCAAGCCACTGAAAGCCACTGGGAGGGCCAGCCTGTCCGGTCGCGTTCACCAGATCCACCCCGGACGCATGCGGAGACCGATCCCATGGGAACAGCAGGTCAAAAGGTTACACACCCCAACCTGGGGGGTGTACCAAACACCACCAATCGGGTGATACATCAGATCTTATGGTCATGGTGATACCATCGGGTGATACTACTACCAGGGCTCACTCGCGACGGTCTAAACTCCAGAAGTTGGCTCGAACCATCGAGATTCGCTCGCTCCGACATCGGACATCACGTCCATCTGATCCCTCTGGAAACACCCCATCCCTAAACCCTAAGTCGTCCCGTCCACATCGCCTCATCATCGCCACCATTCACCAGGAGCGCATTGATGAACTGATCCTGTCGCGTCGCACTGTGGGACTAGTCACGTCGTTTGTTTTGGAATTCGCCGAAGAGCAAGGAACTGCAACTGCAAGGAACAGCAGCCCTTGACCCGTTACCCTATCTGTTTTTCATATATGCTGGTCAACTCGGCTGCTATCAAGAATCGCACAGGTTCCAAATGACTGTGGCCCTTCTCGGCTGCAATAAGCAAAGGCTTTACTGCATTTCTCTGTCATGATCCTTGTCAGCCCCAGAGCAACAATCGCACAATTTCCGAGTGGCCGTTCTGGATGGCAATAAGCAAAGGCGTCGACCCATTGTCTGTTATTGCTGCGTTTTTGTCAACTCCAGCCTCCAGCAACAATCGCACAACTTCCAAGTAGCCTTCCCG